GTTTTCTGTGGTATGTGAGTTATACACAACTTGAAAAACAGTTCTTGTGGCTCCCAAGGTGAGAAGACATTTGAGTAACATGCTTCAGGAGACCTCGGGCTCAAAACTAGCATGAGTTAAATACAACTCACATGGCAGTTAGTGTGTTAAATTTAAAGAGCCACATGTAGCCAATGGCTACTGTTCGGACAGCATCATTCTAGAGAGGTCCTGTGCATACAGAAACATATATAGTAAAGATATTTTACACAATTGGGATATTACCACATACTGTTCTGCATTTTGTTTTTTTCCTCTTAACAATGATACATGTACTATTATGTGAGTCCTTTTAAAAAATGGGTTAAATGTACATATGCTTGTATAGGCACTTAACATTTCTAGAAGAAACTGAAGACAGTGGCTGTCTCTGGATAGAAGAACTGGGAAACAGGTGGAAGGAAATGACTTTTCACTGTATATCCTCTGAATCTGCAGAATTTTGTACCATAACCATGTGTCATTCAAAAAATACTTTTTAAAAAAACAAACAAAAATATATACCATGGGCATCATTCCATGGCAGGCAGTACATGTAGCACTACCTCATTCTTTTTATCTGCTGCATAGTATCCCAGTGCCCAGGGGCAGTACATTTATTTATTAACAGGTATTGCATGCATGTTTTGAGGAGTTTCAAGAAAAGGGAGTATGCACCAGGGCAGTAAAAAGAAGGTATAGGCGTAATGAAGCTGCTAAGTGAAGCATCGTCAGAAGAGTGGGGTACACGCAATGAGAGACGCAGGTGGCAAGATGGGAAACACCAGCATGTGGACAGTGTGCAAAGGGAACATGGAGTGAAGGGTGTTTCCTTCCGGGTGTGTGTACAGAAGGGTGTGCGGAGGGAGGAATACGGGATAGAGGATTGATGGAAGATTCACTAGATGAGGGGCTGTTGTGAAATATTTGCGGGGAAGAGGATATGGAGATGACAAAAATGAGTGTGTTGGGGGGGTGCGTCAGGAAAAAACGGAATGGGGAAATAAAAAAACCTAAGTTGGGGGAAAGAGGCAGAGAGTACATAAGGAATTGCCACCACATACCATGGACTTTCAGGGCAGGCTGGATTTCAAACAGTTTTTTTTTCCCAGTAAACAACATTTGTTAAATTTTATAAATACTAAATGTATACCTAAGAATTCTGATTTATAACTTTATTCTTCTGAAAACAGTTCGTTTTTGAACTAGGTCCTCGTCTCAGCCCCCACCACAACTGGGCCCCACTGTATACCAGAAGAACAAGGGGAGCAAAGGAGCGAGACGTGGGTGTGCAGAAGGGTCAGCGCCTGGTAAGAACACGCTAAATGATTGGAGGGTACACATTACATGGATGGGAGGCTGCAGGAGGCAGTGGAAAGAGGCGAACTTTGAAGTCAGACCCGGTTTTAGTCCCAGCCAGCTCAGCTGACGACCTTGGGCAATCGCATAACCTCTCTGAGCCCTGGTTTCCTCACACGCAAAACCAGGAGGTGGTGGGACCGGACCGAGGTGATGTAGGGAAAGCGCCCGGCACCGGCTTGGTGCGAGGGCCCCGTGGCGCTTGGAGAACCGACAGACAGGGCCGGGAGTGGAGGGTGTCGACTGGACAGGATGGGCGTCCAAAGGCTGACCGGCGGGTGCGGCGCACCTTCCGGGCGCCCGCAGACGCAGAGATGTGGGCCCACGCCGCTCCAGCGCCGCTGCTTTCCGCGACGAGGAGTCCAAAACCCCAGCGGGCGGCGGCACCGGCGCGGCATCGGTGCCTTCAGCGGCCGGGCCCCTCAAGCCCCAGCCCCTGTACCTGGCGACATGCAGCGCCCGCAGCGCCTCGCGGGCGAACTGGTCCGTGCCGAAGAAGAGCACCCGCCAGGGCGGCTTCTCGCGGACTCGGGCGTCCCGGCCGTCCTTCCCGCCGGCAGACCCGCCGAGCCCGGCCAGCGGTCGCCACTGGGGACTCGGCCTTCGGTCCACCGCGCCACCGACCAGCCGGGGCCCCCAGCAGCGCCGCACCAGCACCCTCATCGCCGCGGCGGCCGGCGGCCCACTTTGCGCAGGCGCACCGGGGCGGACATGAGAGCGCAGGCAGAGGGGTGCGGGGCCCGGACGAAACCTGATGGGCGGGGCCCGCAAGCGACTGGGCGGAGCCTGCCTGACTTGGCTGGAGGCGTGGCCTGTCTGTGCAGGGGTCGAAGGTCGAATTTGTCTGTTCAAGCATCCCGAGATTTTTGTCGGGTTTTTTTTTGCACTATTTAGCCAATCCCCCAAAGAACTCTTTGGGGAACAAATGAAACCTCCATGTAGTGCAGTGTCATTTTCTCAGCCATTATTACTGAGTACTTGCTATGTGCCACGCTTTGGCTAAGCATTTGATATGTTATTACGGTTAGTTCACACATCAACTGTATGAGGTAGACATTATTTCAGCCACGTTACTGAAGAGAACCTGAGGTTCAGTGACGCTAAGGGCTTACGTGCGCAAGGTCCACACAGCTAGTAAATGGCAGAGTAGGGTTGGGACTCTTGTCCATGTACTTCCAAGGCCTGTGATCCTAAGCATTTGGCCTTCGCAGCAATCTTACGTATTAGGCACCTGAGGAAACTGAGACTCAGTTACTTGCCTGTAGTCACCTTCATGAACTGAAGTCTCCATTCTTGCCCCTACCCTGTGGGTTCCCTCGCACACAGAGGGATACCACAGGGGGGATTCCTAGGGAAAATTGTCGGGGAAGCTTCTCCCCTAAAGACCTGTGAGGACCATTAGTGCTTAGATTCTGTGTTCCCAAATCCCTGCAGTGGTCTCCTTAGCCACAGTCACACATCCGTGAAGCCGGCTCTAAGCAGAGACCAGTTTCCATTCTACTCTCATTCTCCCACCTTTTCCCATCACATAGTCTTAAACTCAGTGAGCCTGGATCTCTCCCTTTTCCTAAATTATGAGCTCTGCACCTCCCTGCTTCTGTGCCTTTGCTCATGCTGTCCTTCCTAGACTGCCCTCGCACATCTCTTGCTCTCTAAATGGTATCCATTCTTCGATGCCAAATTCCACATCTTCCCTGAAGCTTTGAGCTCTTGCCTCCTTGGACTTAAAATCCTTGGACTTTCTTCGTGTGCCCCGTTAATACCCTGTAGGAACCTCTACTTCTCACATGGTTTGGTATTATTGAGGAAGGTTGTCTAATGTATGCATGGACATTGATACATTCACCCCTGCTGAATAGGAAAGAGAGGCAAAGAGGAAGGGATTCCAGTGATTCTGCTCATCCCGTCACATATGAGGTGAGTGAGAGGGACCCCAAACCCTTTAACCCCTTAATCAAGTTCTGTTCCAGTATCCTCTCTTAGGGTAAGCAGAATGTGATTCTAATATTCAAAGAATGGTCTTCTCCCATTCAACATGACCTAGAAATACAACCCAAATAGTCATCTGGATTCTTACTTAGAATTTGGCTGCTGTCTAAAGTGCGACCCTTTGTATTTGTGTTTATGTTATTTCTTCTCTTGTCGAATTTACGCTCCTTGAGTTAGAGAGCCTGCCTTAGGCTACATTTAATTTCAGCAGCTCAAGTTCTCCCAGATAGCCCTGCCACCTAGAGCTGCCTTGAACCACGCACAGCGTCCTCTGCCGACCACACAGCAGCTGCTCAGTCTTAAGGGCCAATCTATTTTCTCTCCTCCACAGAGCTTTCTCTCCTACCATTGATGTCTAACTTTCCAGTTAGCAAACACAAACTTCTTTTTAAAAACTCAATTTGCAGCGAACTTCTTAAAAAAAAAAACCCCCTGAACATGATGTTATTGTAATGGCTGAAGTTTTCTCAGGATGCTAAAATGAAAATAGTTCTGAAACTCTTAGTAGTGAGTTGGGGCATAGGGAGTTCCACTTCCAAGCCCGGGTAAATCCACCACTGGCACGACTATAAAGCATACAGGGAAGATGAGGACTCCAGCCCCGAATGGCAAAGAGTTTTACATAATAAATTAAGACCCCCAGAAAGCACATCCAAGGGGATTGGAACCCAGATAATGCTAACCGAAGTGGTGCTCCAGTTTCCAGAAGTTTCTCTTCCCCGATAAACAGAGTATGTGTGCCTGCTGAATCAATGAAATTACTCCAGGTTCTGAGCCTGAGTGACAGAACAATAGCAGTGTCATTGACATAGAGAAAGAACCTGCTTCGTGGTCAACATGACACACTTCACCTTTGTATGCTCTGAAACTGAAGTGATGAGCCGAGCAAGTGGAGATGTTTGGCAGAAAGCTGGAATGTGAGACTGGCCTCCATGGCTGGGGGGTGGGAGAGCCAACCTGGGCGTGGGATGAGGCAGGAAGCTTCTCCTCCCCCTGTTCCCATCATCCCACCCTACCCCTAACTGTGTGTGCATGATTTCTGAGGGGTGAGGACATCTGCCACAGATTAAGTGGGTGAGTGTGTGTGTGTGTGTGTGTGTGTGTGTGTGTGTGTATGTAATAAGCACTTTAGTGTTAAGAGTCAAAAGCAGGGAACACCCAGAACCCTGGGAGAGGTGCAGCAGGGGCATGAGGAGGAAGATGGTCAGAGCACTGGCTGGTAAGGCGGCCGATGCCCGAGTCCACGGCTGCTTGTGGTGTGGGCGGCAATGCCACGTGTGGCCAGGGGAAGGTCTGCTACACACAGGTATGTGCCCAGTGACAGGGGAAGGAACTGAACTCAGGGCGCAGCCCACTGAAGCCTTTTGGGATCAGTTCCCTAGTCAGCCGCTCCGTACACTGCCGTCTCCTGCCTGTGGTTGCGCCAGAAGTCCGCGAGGAGGTGCTGCTCACTAGCCTTTCCCGCCATTGATTGTGGCGGACAGGTCATGTGCTCCAACGCCTCTGTCTCTGTTTGTGCTCTCTGTGTTATTACTGTCTTGTGTCGTCTCAGTAGATGTCACTCCCTAATCTGTCTGTTATGGAAACCACAAGGGGGTTTCGGCCTAGATCCAGTTACTCATCGCGCAAAGATCCAATTATTGAGACAATGAGGATTGCCAAGGAAGAAAGAAATCTTTCAATAGAAAGGCATCTTGTTGGGAGAATGGGAGAGGCTGCCTCAAATTCATCTGCATGACTTATGGACATCATGGGCTTTTTAAGGAGAGGCCACGTGCCTTGCGGCAGATTGTGGTGCAATGAGCAAGGAGCTAAGTGCATTGGGGGCAGGTTGTGGCATCAGGAAGTCTGCCCAGGAGCCTTCAGAATCTCACCTCTTTTGTCTTGCAGAAAATCCACCATGTCAGCAGAATAACTCAAAAGGTCAAGAAGTTAGTTAAGGGAGAGGATAATAAAAAAATATATAGGAGTCATTGAAATTTGTTCGTAGAGCCAGTTAGATGTCCAGCTGCTCTGTAAATCAGGGATAGGGGTATAAGGCCATATGTGGCAGGTTACATGACATCTAAGGGACAGTAGGAGCCCCAGGGAGAGAAGCCACAGGTAGGAGAAACAGCCTAAGGAAATGGAATTTTCCCTGTTGCTGTTGCAAGTCAACCTAGTAAACCCAGGGGAATATCTCAAAATAGACTTAAAGAGATCAAACCTTAAAATCTTTAGTTTGTTCCCCAACCCCCAGGCAAAAGTGCTGTGCAATGTTAACAAAGCTGTCTGTTGTCAACACAGGGAAAGAATAGTTAATAAAATAGCTAAAGCTGTGGTTATTTCTTGTTCTGAGACAACAGTGTTCTTATCTGAAAACACTTCCTGATGCTGTTCTTTGAAATCAGGTCCCCACATATGGAGTGATAAAATAGATATCCTTTTATACCCAAACCATCTTTGCTACTTCCTAGACGGCCACTAGGTAGCACCATAGCTTTGTTCTCTCATCTTTTGCCCTCACGTGGCATTCACAACAGAGAGGGATGCTAGAAATGACTGCATGTGATTGATGTGCTCCATAGTTTTTCATTAGCTGATCAATAGTAAGCTTCCTTATTCATCAGGTTCACAATGTGGGGAAAGCTGTCAAATCAAAAAGAGAACCTCAAGCTAACCTGTTAGTTTTGTATAGGTAAAGTGCTACTGTGAATCTATTATCATATATCCTGCTCATGCGTAAGGGCTATCAATAAAATTACTTCTAAGATTTTTCCTAGAATTATAATAATTTTATTAGTTGGAGGTGATTATAATATCTGCCTTACATTTTACAAGGCAGATTGTGATACTCCAGAGATCTGTCAAAACTGTCCCGGTCTATAATACATCCTTCCTTCTGTGATCATCTAATGATCATCTAAGTGTGTATGTAAGAGCTATGGAAAGGCTCATTTGCTCATGTCCTACTCTCCTGTGGGGAATTCCAATCACCTCCACTCTGATATACTTGACTCTGTAATAAAGTAAGGCAGAGCTCCCCAGTCTTGGCATCAACAGCCGGTTTCTCCTCTCTCCTCACACTTGCCCAAAGGCCCTTGTATATAAATCAGAGATCGTGGCTTCTGAAAGAAATATCAAAAGAAAACTTTACACCCTTGGTGGTAAGGACGGTACCAGGTACTCTTTTTTTTTTTAAAAAAAAACAAAACAGCTTTATGGATATATAATTCTTATACCATGTGATTCACCCATTGAAAGTATACAAGTCAATGGCTTTTAGTGTATTCACAGAGCTGTGCATCAATCACCACAATCAATTTTAGAACTCCCCAAACAAATCCCATTCCTCTTAGCCACCCTCTCCCAAGCCCCCATTCCACCTAGCCCCAGGCAACCACTAATTTACTTTCTGTCTCTAATCTACAATTACATTTGCCTATTGTGGACATTTCATATAAATAGAATCATACTATATGTGGTCTTTTGTGACTGGCTTCTTTCATTTACATAATAGGTTTTTTTTAGAGACAGGGTCTTACTCTGTCGCCCAGGCTGGAGTGCAGTGGTGTGATCATAGCTCACTGCAGCCTCAACTTCCCCAGGCTCAAGCGATCCTCTCAATGCACTCGCTTCGGCCTCCCAAGTAGCTGGAACTACAGGAGCGTGCCACCACACTCAGCTGATTTTTTTATTATTTTGTAGAGATAGCGGTCTCGCTATGGTGTCCAGGCTGGGCTCAATCTCCTGACCTCAAGTGATTCTACTGCCTCAGCTGACCCAAAGTGCTTAGATTGCAGGCATAAGCCACTGTGCCCGCCTCTAATTATTTTTTTTTTTTTTTTTTTTTCCTTGAGACAGAGTCTCACTCTTTTTCCCGGGCTAGAGTGAGTGCCGTGGCGTCAGCCTAGCTCACAGCAACCTCAAACTCCTGGGCTCAAGTGATCCTCCTGCCTCACCCTCCCAAGCAGCTGGGACTACAGGCATGCGCCACCATGCTCGGCTAATTTTTTTTTCTATATATTTTTAGTTGTCCAATTAATTTCTTTCTATTTTTGGTAGGGACGGGGTCTCACTCTTGCTCAGGCTGGTTTCGAACTCCTGAGCTCAAACAATCCGCCCACCTCGGCCTCCCAGAGAGCTAGGATTACAGGCGTGAGCCATCTAATTATCTTTTAATCAATCATTCTTAATTTTTAAAAATCTCATCGAACAATGATTAACCGTTCATTGAAAATGAATTTCTACATTGAAACTACTGTGAAGTCTTCCCCCTTACAGAAAGGTTGTAATGAAACTTTGATTAAATAGTCATAACTACATTGTTTGAAATGTTTTCATCAATATGGGGGCCAACTGTGTACCACATAGGTCCCCTCAAAGAATGCTTACTTGCTTGTGAAAGATGAGAGCAACAAAATGCAGACAACTTAACACGCAATGCTTACTTGGCACTCTGACATTCCTCAAACACATTATGGAGTAATTCATCTTCAAAATGAAGTTGCTGTGTATGAGAATGATTAAACCATACCTCATGTAGCTAAAAGGAAAGGCTGGTAGACTTTGATTTTTTATTCTACTCTTGGACTCTGATTTAGTAGGGTACTGAGGAAGATTTTTGGTTGTACTATAACCAGGAGGAAGAGGTCAAAGATATAGAAAGAATTAAGGATTATAAATAAGGGTCAACAACTTAGAAAGTCTGAAATGCTATAGATAAGGATGAAGGTGGTGGCTGCAGACTGTTTTTTCTTGGAGAAAGTACATGTTGTACTTTGTTTCATTGTTTCACACCAGTTTCTGCCGAAACTTCCTATACTTTGCAAATATTCTGAAATGCTTCCAGCAAAATGTGTGTCTGTTGAAAAAGCATTTGATCATTGAGATTGTTAGGTTTGTTCCAGGTGGGAACCCAAGAAGTATGTGATCATAAAGCCTGTGAAACAAAAAACACAGAAAACCCAACCCTCCGTAAAACCCAAAGCTTTCCCCTCCTGCGATGTGGACTCTCTTTGGCCTCCACCCAACTGCATCCAGATGCTCAGAATAAAACAGCATTTTGCTACACATAAGGCTTCATGTGTCTTCCTCTCAGCTCCGGACCTCACAGAGATCATCATGTTCAGCCTAAAGATGGCTTCCCCTGGACACCCATGGCTCCTCTCAGCCACCCTGTTACAGACGAAAGCACCAAGTCAGCGCTTAAACAGCAATAATTTTGGACTTAACTGCCCTACCTTTGCCAAAAATTTCCTCACCGATTCCACTATTTGGTTTTTCTCTTCTCGGGGTTTAACATAAAAATTAGCCCCTAGAAGAAATGCATGGTTCTGTTGGTACTGTAATTTAACCACTGCTCTGATCCTGGATATTTAGGGTGTCTTTTTTTTTCTAACTGTTTTAAACAACGTTGCAGTGAATATTCTTGTACCTACAACTCTGCTCCTGTATGGCATCATTTCCTTACATCACCACTTTCTGATTTCATTTTATTTTCCCTGAAGTTTTCTCTACTGAGAAGATAATGTGCTGCTGTTGGGAACTTGGACCAACTATTGTTTAAACTGAATTATTAAACTGGCTCCTAAGTGTAAGTGATGCTGGTGAAAATGAGAGTGAAAACAAACTGCTAGCCAAGGGCCTGTCACCCCTCATGGTGTCAGCTGATAATGGATGGCCCACTCCAAGGGACAGAACAGCCTCACCTGGAAAGACAGAGCAATTTCCACCACCTTGAAGCCTTTGCTGACTGTCAGCCTAGAAGGCATCGCATCTTCAGTGTGTGGAGGCAAGAGGTTAGGAAGCAGAAAGCTGCTTACCTGTAGGCCCTGGAGCTCAGGGCAGGACTCTACCTCCTGGCCCCTTAACCCTGAGCTGAGGTTCAAGTCTCTTTCCAACCCCCAGCTGAGGGGTCAGGTCCCTGGACAGCTCAGCAGGTGTTGTCTACCCTCCTCCATCCATCATTCTTTAGGAAAAGGGTTCTCCTTCATACTGGTTTTTTACCTTACTTAGCAGAAGCTAACTGGTTGGTCCCAGGGAAAAATCTCCCAAGTTTAAAGGACTTGGGCTTCATCATTCATTACACAACTGGCCTCTCCTGATAATAATTCCTTTTCTTTTCTTTTTTTTCCTGAAAGAGACAGGGTCTAACTCTGTCACCCTGGCTAGAATGCAGTAGCCCAATCAGAACTTACTGTAACCTCTAACTCCTGGGTTCAAGC